GTCTTAACGCGGGATGAGAGTTCTTTAGGATCTTCAGGTTTGTCATCAGATGTGGATTCCTTAGTAGGACTATCTAAACTATTAGAAGCACGTGGGGAATCACGAACGGGGTTTCTTTAGGTCCAACTACCATAATAGGATCAACACTCAGGTATTCCAGCTCCACCCCATTGCTTCCAATCTCCCCCTAATTACAAACATCATCCACCACTACATTGATGGGCTCCATCACAACCCATGTACCAGTTGTATACACGATAGACTCGACTATTTTTGAAATATTCTAGAAAGATTCCCTCATCACTTTTAGAATCAAACTTGCCCAAATTTCTCCATCTCTTAGAATATAGCACTTGCTGCCTGACACACGAAAGTACTTAACAGTTAGTCGTTTACTTTTCCAAATCTCATATGGTGTCATATCAATTTTAGGTATAAGATAAACCCTGTAAACGATGTGACATGCAGTGTCGATGGCTTCCACCCAGAAATGCATAACAAGATCCTTACCATGAAGCAAGACTCTTGCTATTTCTTGAAGCACACGATTTTTTCTCTCAATTACCCCATTCTGTTGTAGAGTGATTGGCGAGGATAACTCATGTTGGATTCCCTCTTCCAAGCAGAAGTTTTCAAGATTAGAGTTTTCAAACTCTTTTCCATAATCACTATGAATTCGTGATATGGTAAACTCTTTGTCATTTTAAGCCTTTTGCACAATGAGATGATAAGACCGAACACCCCAATTTTATCTCTCAACAACTCAATCCATGTGTATCGAGAAAAATCGTCAAATACAACTAAGAGATACTGTTTACAACCAAGAATTTCGTGTCCTAAATGGTCCCATTAAATCATTCAAACTCTTTTCCATAATCACTATGAATTCGTGATATGGTAAACTATTTCTCATTTCTAAGCCTTTTGCACAATGAGATGATAAGACCGAACACCCCAATTTTATCTCTCAACAACTCAATCCATGTGTATCGAGACAAATCATCAACTACAACTAAGAGATACTGTTTAACAACAAGAATTTCGTGTCCTAAATGGTCCCATTAAATCTATATGGAGTAATTCAAGTGACTTGCTTGTCAAAATCTTAGAAGTATGTTTATGAGGAACTCTAATATGTTTACCTTGTTGATACGTACCACATTGTGGTATCAGTATTTTCAAGTTTGTGTAAGCCATTTACAAGTTCCTTCTTGACTAGTTTAGACAAACTTTTATAGTTCATATGGCTAAGCCGTTGATGCCACAATACAGTTACATCAATCTTGGCACTACTGCATACGTAGTTGGAATTAGGAAGAACTCCATAACAATTATCATAAGTTCTTACACCTTTGAGGACAACATAACCGGTAGAATCATATATGGTACACCTTTTTTGAACAAAACTAACTTCGAAATCATCATTACATATTTGACTAATGTTTAACAAGTTGCACTTTAATCCTTTCACATAAAGCACATCTGAAATATCAGGTAATCTAGATATAGTAACTACACCTTTACCAAGAATAGGTGCACTAGCACAATCTCCAAAAGTCACAATACCGCCATTCCAATCAACTAGAGAAGAGAACAAGGCCTTGTCACCACACATATGTCTAGAACAAGCACTGTCAAGGTACCACATAGAAACATTTTGAGCCTTAAGTGCAATGTGGGCAATATAAAAATTCATCCGATCATCTAACCTAGATAAATTAATCTTCTTAACCCAACCCTTCTTAAAATCTTTATCAGATTCTATAATAGCTATAGATGTGAAGGCCATGAATTTTTGAATATCTTCACCACCTGAAGTATCACTCTGAGTACTAAAATTTGATTCATCATCACTTAAGGTCACCACTAAAGCCTTATGTATACCATTATTAGAACTCTTTTTCAAGTTAAGACATTCATTCCTGTATTGACCGTCTGTAACCCCGACACTCATGACATCTAACAAATTGATTTTTCTTATTAGCAGTCCTAGAGTCACTCTCTTCACGATTATCTTTCATGAATTTACTAGGGAATCCACTTTTCATTTCTCGAGGTTTTCTTCTATTCCTCATCACTTTCTGAATTTTTTTAACGAAATAAGCTATTTCATCGTTCCTAAGTTACTCAGCATCAATAGACTCACTCTCCTATTTTCTAATGATGTTCATGGCGATGGATTTAACTTTTTTAATTTGAGAGAAGGTGAGTCCATAAATTTGAAGAGATCCTACGAGTTCTTCTATCTTAACAGCATTTAGTTCTTACTTTCTTCTTTCGTAGTAACCTTAGGTCTAAACCTCTTGGGCAGGGATCTAATGACTTTTCTAACGATTTTGGACTCAGGAATCCTTTCACCTAGGTTAAAGCTCGAATTAACAATCTCATTCAATTTTGCATAAAATTCATCGAACGATTCATTGTCCTTCATCCTAATCTCTTCAAACCTCGTGGTTAACATCTGCAGTTTAGAATTTTTAACCGTTTTAGTTCCCTTGCATGTGGTTTCTAAAATATCCCAAACTTCCTTGTCAGTTTCACACATCAAGACTCTCCTAAATTTTTCAGCAGACACAGCCATGAACAGAGCACGTAATGCTTTACTGTTCCAGTTACATTCATCTAAGTTAATTTTAGTCCACAAAGAGATGCCAGTGGGTATTACTATACCGGCAATGGTTGTTAAAGGTGGAGCCCACTCATTTTGAACGCTAATCTAAATACGTTCATCCGAAGGTTTAAGGAAGGCTCCCATTCGAACTTTCAAGTAGGCATAGTTGCTTCCATCGAAAAATGGAGGCACAAATAATGACTGATTCATTTAGATGTTATAAAGGGTCAGGAATTGAATTAAAACTCTAACACCAATTGAAAGTTGCGTAGTTTAACCCTAACAATACCTAGAGGGGTGAATATGTATATTATGCAGAATTAAAATTATCAATTAATTAGTAACATGTCACCAATTAATTATCTTTAGATGATTAAACATACAAATCAATTTAAACTATATTTGAATACAACAGTTTATATAATTAATACTAAAAGTAATAAAAACACACAGTATGATCACGGAGAAACCCCAACTAGATAAAAACTTTGGACACTTTGCCAATTAACAATCCACTATAAACGATTTTTAACTTACAATCTACAAGCTTAGACGACGACACGTACCATCTAATCTCCTGACTGCAATTCCAACAACTCTCCTGGATTCTATGCTGCTGCACCACTCCCAATTGCAGTTTCCAAAGCTCTCTTGAATTGTATTTTCTTACAGCAACTCCTAACTTTGTGAAATCGTTTATCTCATATGGAACCATAAAGAACACCGCGTTTTTCAACGACGGAACTCCATTCAACTTCCCTCGATCTTCAGCAACTCTGACGAAGTGAGGGAAAGAACAGTTTGGTATTTAGATTACGAAATTGATGTTTTTCTCATCAAAACATACTCACAAGATGAAGGTTGAAAGTAGGAATATGTATGAATTCTCTTTGATGAAGCTATCTCAATGTATTACCTTATTTTTCACATTTAGATGCGTTTTGGTATTTATAAGTAGGTTGAAAAGTAATAGGCTAAGGAAAAATCCTTTAAATTGCGAAATAAAAAATTTTCAGACAACACCGTCGCTTGAGCGAGAGCTCATCGAAAGTTGAGCGACAAGCTATCTCTTGAGCTAAAGCAGGGCGACTGTCAAGCAACAAAGATTTTGTTTTTTACGCTCGAGCCAATTCATGGCGACAGTCTAGCGAAAATCCTTGCCATACTTTCTTTCTTTTGCCATACTCGAACCCTAAACCTAAAAAACCTATTTTTATATAATTGCACATTTCTCATTGACTTTTTTACAATATTTACAATTAAGTCCCTTTTATTTAAAGAATTGGCAATTACATAATTAAAAACCTAACAAAGTGAACATTTAATGCATGATTGGCATGATATTTTTAAAAATAAGTAGTATAAATTATGTGTCAAGTTATTATTGGTCAATACAATTTTTAATTATATAAATAATTTTGTTTTCATTGTGGAATTTAAAATTGTTAATAAAAGTATTTTGGTTTATATTATAGTAAAATGGACATTGAAGAAATTTTGAACATTTTTGTAAAAGATCATATAAAAGTGGACATTTTTTTGCAATTTCATCTTTCTAAAATTGTCATATTTGCAAAAGTTTCTAATTTTTTTTTTATATATATATAATAAGGTATTTAGGTCTATTTCTATTAAAATTGGACATATTTGCAAATGCTTTTAAAATGGCCATTCTAAGATGCATATTTAAATAAGGCTACATTTCCAATTTCCTCTTCTTTTTATTGTAGTGGAATATTTACTAATATGAAAGGTGAATCGAGGAATAGGTATTTGTATTATTATTCTTACTTGTGTGTTAGAAGCGCCACTTTCATTTTAATTTTGTTTGCTGGCTAGCACTATTTTTTATTCAATAGAGAATTATTTGAAAAGGTTGATGTGGAATTCAATTTTACTCGCGTGGATGTACTTGTGTTGTATTATTTTGTTCGATTAGTCCAAGAATCTACATTTTAGTATCTTATCGTTAAAAAAGTGTCACAAAAAAAAAGGGTAAAAAAATCAAAAGAAATCCTCCTTTATAAAAGTAAGGAAATAAAATAATTGGAATTTGATCAAACACTAATCAAGATTATAGCGACTGTCATTGTCTTCTGCAAGATATGAATCAAACACACCTCAATATAATAACTTATCATCAATCTTGTATTAATTTCATTATGTCGCTGATTGCAGTTTTAGCAACATTTGTTGCATTTTGTCAACATTGGGTCATGTTCTTTTGTGAAAATGACAAGATTTGGCAGATTATGTTTTACATTAATTTAAACTTTTTTACCGAAAGCATGCATAGCATGCCTCCAATATAAACCATTAAGAAAAAAGAGAAAAAAATAAAATAAATGTGCTATGTGCATATTACTTACCAAGCAAGACTCGAACTAAACTAATACGACAAGGTTGAAGTACGGTGGCAGTGGCGCTGACCATGACTGTGCTTAGTGACACCCATTTCTATATGTCGTTGAAGGTGAACAAAATCCTCGACTGAACATGGTAGCATAAGTGGTCTAGTTGTATCGTAGTCATAGAACTCAAGCCTTTGAAAGAGAGGATCGTGTAGGTACGAAATTGAGATGACAAATCTTTGGAACAGACCATTTTCTAATCCCACCTGGACTGTCACGCACCCTTTCTTCAATTTCATCTCCTCCTCCTCTTGCCTATGGATTGTAGCAATTAAAAGAAGACGACTAGTTAGCTACTTGTGTTTTTAAATTTGGCATACGTGTACGTTCTTAGACAAGATATTTGTAGGCAAATAAAAAGGAGGATTTATGTTGCCACTGAATAGGGCTGACAGTGGAGAAATCAAGATTTTGCTTTGGTTATGGAATCAGTAAAATGATGCACTCGAAGTTTCTCCTTCATAGTTTTGATCGTCACTCATGGATCCCTATTTGTAATTTTTTTCAGTATACTAATAATTAATGAAACCATTGACAACATTGTATATTGTGACTAGCTAGTAAGTACAATTGACATTATTTTACTCATCAACTATGTCGCACCTTCAATTTCGTCTTCTTTTCCCCTTATCTGCATTGTAGACTGTTGCTATGGGTACAGGAAATTACCCACAGAAAATTGACAGAATACACACAATAGGTGGGCCCTGATTTTTTTAGCAATATTAAATTCATGTGAGCCCCGTCACTCCATGTGAGTGGAATTCAAATTTCCGTGAAAATTATTCATTTTTTTCCTGCACTTGCAGACTTTTTCTTGTAATCTTGGTGAGTGTAAATGTACTAGTTGAGGTGTTCGTATGGGTTTAGGCAAGTATGCAAGATTTTTTTGGGGTCAATTTTTAGGGCTAAAAATGAAGAAAGATTTTGTGGCCTTGACAATGGAATATCCATTTATGATACACTAAACTTTTACTTCTTGTTTGATCGTCAGTGATCACTTGTATATCATTATTTTATTTTATTTTATTTTCCTTTGTAAATAATATGTTAGTGAAACAAAAGACAATTATTTGATTCCTAGGTATCTAGTAATTGGCGCACACATTGTAAGTACGGACTTCTTGTGATGCCAGAAAATATCATTGTTCTATTCGTTATCACTTGTAGCGGATATATCCTCGACAACTATGCCTTAAAGTTGGCTGGACTTTATATTATGTCACTTTTAATGTTTAATGTTTAATAATGTAATTTCATTATTATTAAGTACTACTTGAACAAGACATTAATTAATCCAATTTGTTTTATAGAAGTATTTAACTAATAGAAAGTCCTTGCCAATTTTTAAGTGTCCTTGTTTTTCAAAGATATCGTTCGAAACAAAACAAAGTACAACGTATGATATATTTAAACCAATTCCAAGAAATATATTTGATTGGAAGTGCATCGAATTTGTACATACTTCATCGAATTATCGTGATTTCATCGTCAAATTTTTTAAGAAGAGTAGCACGAGCTTTTGAACATCAATCGTAGTTTTCAAATTCAAAAGATATGAGATTTTACCCTTTACAACCACCAACACATATACGTGCAGATGTAAGTATGTACAACATTTCAGTTCGAAAATGATGCGATTATGAAATGAAATGCGAAGGACCAATTAGACTGATTATTAATTTCATATTAATTCCTGCCCTTGATTATGTCATAATTCCCAATTTCATTGACTAGAGATTTTAAAAATTTACATGTACATTAATTTGCACATCATGCGCTAATACTACCGAAAGTAGAGAGAAACAGGAATTGACATGCCTCCTCCATCTATAATCCATTAATAGAGGCGAATATAAAAGGAAAAGACAAGGAAGAAAATAAAATATCACATGTACATAGTACCTACAAAGTAAGACTCGAACTAGAACGTTGTCAAGACTAATATGACAAGGTGGAAGCACGGTGGTGATGGCGGAGACCATGACTGTGCTTAGTGGCACCCCTTTCTATCTGTCGTTGAAGGTGGTGAAAATCCTCGACCGAACATGGTAGCACGAGGGGACCGCTTATTTGGTAGCTATAGATCTCGCTAGCTTTATTGAGAAGCCTCTGAAAGAGGGGATCATATAGGTAAGAGATTGGGATGACAAATCTTTGAAATGAGTCATTTTCTAACCCTACTTGGACTGCCACACACCCTTTCTTCAATTTCATCTTCTTCTCCTCTTGCCTATGCATTGTAGAAAGTAAAAGAAGATGATCAATAGCTAGCTGCTTGTGTTTATAATCTTGGCGTAAGAGCGTGAGTTTTAAGACAATGGATGATTTATGTGGTCAATTTATAGTGATGAAAGTGGAGAAATTAAGATTTTGCATTGGTATGGAATCTGTGTAATGATGCACTGAAGTTTCTCCTACTAGTTTTTATCATCACCATTGGATCCCTATTTGTAATCTTTCATTGTACTAATACAATGTTATTAATGGAACAACAGACAAATTATATATTTTGACTGCTGGTTGTTATATATTTATACAATAAATATAATATGTGAAAGAAATAATTAAGCCCCCGTTTGACACCCATTAATTTCTCTTTCTATTTCTCATTCTCATTCTCATTCTTCATTTGAACCACACATTCTCCTAATAAAATAATATTACACACAAATCAAAAACTTTTCATCACTTTTCCACCACACATTCTCACATCAATTACTATTCCAAAATTTCTATTTCTCCCAAAATGGGTTTCAAACAGGGGCTAAAATTATTGAAGCTATATTCTACACAGACCAGTTTAAAATGTACTAGTTGATCGCCCACTACATACTTCAAAATGAACATAAAGGAAGAAACCTAGTATAGTGGTCACAGACAAGAAGATTGACCAATTTCAATATAAACTTATGATTAATTTCAAAATTTATTAAAAATAAGATGTCTGATATTTAGAAAACCTTTTGTGATTGCTGCACAATTGGTTTTTTTGATCGTTGTATCCTGGAGGTGATTGTCCACAGAGGTCGCAGCAGTTATCGACGGGCAATTTGGCTTTAGGACATCGTGCTGTCACGAGACTCGATCTATTGATAAGTTTTTCTGCACTTTACTGTTATTTTATCCAACTTTGGTAAGTACAATTGGCATTTTTTAAGGGTTATTCCCCTTTGCTGCACAGGTGCTGCCACGCAGCACCAACACCAGCACTTCTTTTTTTTTTTTTGTGTCGTCTATGTCCAATGGAATGATGCCACATTCTCCCTGTAATGACCTTGGCAGCACTTTCCCTGTATACCAAGCAAGGATTTTTTTTTTTTAAATCAAAATTTGAAGAGGTTAGCAAGACAAATGATTGCATTTGAAGAGGATAATTTTTTCTCTTAACTTCTACCAAACTGTGAAGTAGCGATCAATTTTGGGATCGCAATAACATTACTTTCTTTGGAAAAGTTTGAGTTCAAATTAAAAATTGTTAAAGCTTAATGATAAGTGTATTTTATACACTTTTCTGGACTGTTGAATTAGAGTATTTGATATTGATTTTGATGAATTATGACTTAATTTTTATATATTTTATTTGTTAGGTAAAACTCGATGCAAAATGGTAGAATTGAAATAAAGGATCAAATAATGGGCGAAAATAGGAAAAATTCAAAGTTTGAATACTGAATTGGAAACAACCAACAGTTGATTTGGACCACAAAACAATAATTGAAGAGCATACAGATCAACTAGACGAGGTTATAAGTCGAGATTGAAATTACATGATAAAAGGACCAAATCTGGAAGAAAGTCAGGAACCAACTTCCATAGTTATTGGTGCATCGGCAAGGCAAATGTCCATGCGTGAGCATGTGTAATTCTGCACCAGGCGAGACAACTTTCCTTCTATGGTCAAAAGTCAAAAACTCTTTTTGAACTCAATTCTAATGTGATTTTAACCTAACTTTCACAACCTATAAATACAAGACAAAAGCTGAACATTAGGGAATTTCTCTCTAGCCTCCCAATTCACATTCATATCATAAAATTTATCAAGAACAAGAGATCAATTCAAATCTATTGGGAGAGAAGATCAACCTTGCAATAAATTGAAATTGAAAAACAAGATCTCTTGCACTCATTCATATTCCGGGCGACTACATTCTTCTTCTTTTAATATTATATAAGTCATGCTACGCTAAATCATTAATTGTATTGGATGAAAATGAACATTTTGTTTAATTATTTTTAATTCAAAAACAAGTACTTTAGTAATTCTTATATTTCTTGATTAATTGTGAATGCTCGTTACATTATTTTGAACACGGTGTGATTAACACACGGATAATAAATGTTATGAACAACATGTATGGTTTGTGCAATGTTATTGATAATTGTGTGATTGAATGTGTGCTATGCATATGAATTCGGATTAGGAGTATGATCGGATTGTGTTTAGAAGAATAGGTGAATTCTAAATCCAATATAATCATTCTATAATTTGATACATACAAATGATTTTTACATAATTCTTAGAATACTTAAAATGAAATCTCTTTTGTGTTACAAATATTCTAATTGCATAGAAAACTAGTGCGTTTGAATTAAAATATATTTCTCGTGAGACGATACACGTAACTTATCACGTAATATTACTTGTGAATAATCTCGTAGGCTTACGGGATTTATCCGAACATTTAAAATTCTTCATGACGATTTTAACCGCCACCACTTTCCGGCTTCTCCAATCCATTTATTTTTAACTGTGAAAGGTTAATATTTCATTTTAACGACTTTTCACTTCTTCACCACCACCACTTCTATCCCACCCACTTCTTCTACACCACTACTCGTGGGCATTTCCAACCATTTATGTTCACCATCAACCCTGATAAGTGCGTTTTGTGCATTTATTCAGGTTATATTACTAAACTTTTATATCGTCAAAGCACTGAATTCAACTTAACTTGGGTTAATTTTCGTTTGTTTTAGTTTAAGACTTGTTTCCAAGCAACTTGAAAAGAAAGAAGGAATATAAAAGTGGCCAATTAATCCTTCCGTCTAGTTGTATGAATTTTGTGGCATGTTTTACCTTCGAAAGATTGAAAATAAGTTAGACATAATGTTAATTGTCGTAAAAATTTAGTAGCGCAACCTAATAAGTTTTAAAATTCGGCCATATTTGCAAAAGGTTTCTAAATTTTGTAGGAGAGGGTATTTTGATCTTATATCTATTAAAATTGGCCCTATTCAAAATGCACATTTAAATATGTCTACGTTTCAAATTTCCTCTTCTTTTTATTGTAGTGGAGTATTACTAATCCAGTATAAAATGAAAGGTGAATGGAGGTTTTTCTATCATTATTCGTACTTGTGTACTAGAAGCATATAGCAGCAGCACGTAATATTTAAATTTACTTTTTTGCTTTAGTTATTATTGACTCAACTATAAGATTTTAAATAATTATACATAATCTATTTAATTGGCCGCATCATTATGCACCACTATCTTTTTAGAATCTGATTGCTGGCTAGCATAAATTTTTATTCAATAAAGAATTATTTGTAATTTGGACATACGCGCAAGTTTTTAGATAAGATGTTCGTAGACAAATACAAACGAGAATTTATGTTGTCTATAAATAGGTCTTACGGTGGAGGAATTAAGATTTTAATTTGGTTATGGAATCTGAATTACGATGCACTCAAAGTTTCTCCTTCCTAGTTTTGATCGTCACTCGTGATTCCTAGCTAGTTAGAATCAGTGTTCTAAAATGCGTAATGCGTTGCGATGCGTCGAGGTCGAGAATCAAGAATCACAAGTTTAGGCGTGTCAATGCGAAGAATAAGCGCCATAATGCGTTTCGTATTTTTAAGGCTGTAAATAT